AGGGGGGGGGGGGGGGTTTTGCTGGTGGTGGTGCAGCTGCTGCTGCAGAATGAGCAGCAATGCTTAGGGCAGCTGCGCGTGGGCCTGGGTTACCTGCCTCAGTGGCTCTTTCTGGGAACCAGCTAGCCCTTGGAAGTCTCCCAGAAGAGGTTAAAACTAGCATGTCATTTGGGGAGGGGAGGCAGAATCAACCAGATGGGCAGAAGAACCTCATCTCCTCCTCCAGGTTCTTGTTCCCCCTTCCTCCAAACCACACTCTCCCCACCTGCTGTCCACTTTGTCCAACCCTGCTTTCCGTACTTGGGGAAGCTCAGCATGTGAGAGAAGAGGCTAGATTCAGTAGCCTTCCATCCCTCCCCTTTGTGTCTCCCAGCTGCACTTTCCAAGACTAACTGTGATAGTTTTTTTGGGGCCGGGGAATCCACTGTGTTTGCAAAGTGGGTCTTCAGTGTAGGAAAGACTATGCCACGGCCCCTCAGCTTTTTATGGTACTGCAGCAAAACAAAATGAGCTGATGTCTTTTTGTAGCTCTGAGGATGTTCTCTCCTGCAGTTCAGGCCTTCCTCCGGTCTGCTCTGGTCTTATTTTCTCAAATGAAAGGGACTTAGCAGTGCCCTTTGGGTTTTGCCAAGAGCCTCCAAACCTGTTTCTGCATGTCATCGCCCCCTCCCTTGCTCCCCTGCTACATTAGCAGCCAGTTTTGGAAGGAGCCTCCCTCTTGTGCCGCTTTTTGTGCCTAGCATCATAGGGCCCAACTAAGTTGAGAGCCAGTTTCGTGTAGTGTTTAAGGTGCTAGCCTAGAAACCAGGAAACCATGAGTTCTTCATGCCTTAGTCGTGAAAGCTGGCTGGGTGACTTTGGGCCAGCCCCTCTGAGCCCAGCCCACCTCACAGGGTGGTGGCTGTGGGGAAAAGAGGAGGCAGGAGTATTAGGTATGTTTGCTGCCTTGAGTTATATATAAAAAAGGTGGGATAGAAATTTAATAATTCAACATGCCAAACTTTGCAAAGTGCACATGCCCGTGGGTAACGGGGGGGGGGGAAGTACTTCATGCCAGAAACTCTCACCTGCACACAGGTGAGTGCACAAATAACCTGCATATAACCAATCAATGGCTGCATGCAGAGTACATGGAGAGACCGTGGTCAGGGAATTGCCCAGAACTGAGAGAATGTAGTCAGAAAGCAAAGCTTGAATGTGGAAGGGAGGTTTGGGAGGAGATTGGAAACTGAGAGGAAGACTTCAAGAACACAAGAGGGACATCAGGATTTGGGAGGCTGGGGTGATACAACCAGGTCTTCCCCTGCCAGTGTTCTAGGCTCCTCTTCTTCCTCCTCTTGCCATCTGTGCCAATCTGCTTGCTTGAAATTTTGCCCTGGCTGCACTGCCCTGCTGTCTGGACCTTCATGTGCTGCGTTGACTCACTCGCCCTTTGCAGTAACTCCTTGCTGTGTCAGAGGGGGCTTCCCCTCCCCCTTGTTAGTCCTGCTTGCACTCGTCCTCCTCTGCCAATGTTTTATATGCAGTATGTACTTTAAAGAAGTGTAAATAAAATTTAAAGTGAAGCAGACCTAGTAACGTTCCTCTGTAAATCCTGCTCTTAGGCAGTAACAAGTTCCCTTGTCAGCAGCAATTAGTGGCTGTTGGGATATCTGAAGGGAAGACTAATCAAGGGGGTGGGAAACTGGTTCAGATGGGGAAGTGCACCAATTTGAGGCTGATGAAAATGCTTCCTAAAACTACAGGTGGAAGGACCTGTTGATATCTGTTTAGAGTAGGGCTCCTGGTTTTGCCCTGTGCCCACTCATTTCACTCTCATAACACCTATACAGCAAGGTGAACCCAAAGAGATGTTTAAAGGAACCTTGGGAGCTGTGCTTGCTCTTCCAGGGCTCCTCTGCTTGGCATTCCAGAGATGAGTCGTCCTCCCTCATGGGAACAGAATGCTGGCTTAGCCAGGCCTTTGGCCTGATCCATGACAGCTCTTATTCTCTTTCCAGAAGCTCGATCTTATCCTCAATTTGAATAGATCAACAAGGATTCTCAACTGTTTAATACTGGATGCAACAAAATTATCTCCTAAATGCTGCTGCTAAAAAGGAGAAAATTGGAGGCAGTTGGGAGCGTTGAAGGTCTGGTTCATGATTTTGTTAATGTTTAAAGTTAGTGTTTAACTTTTACTTTTTTAGTAAAAATCACAGCAGCCTGAAATCTGCCAAGTCTGCTCTTGGACATACAGATTATGTAGAATATCATTGAATTCAGTGTATTTATTCCAATTTATATAGCTGCCCATCTCATATGTACGACTCTGGGAGGCTTACAGATGGTTAAATATAAAACAGTAAAAAATAGTGCAATTTAAAAACAAAAACGAGGCAAATAAAAGCAATGTGAAAACACATAAACAACTGCCATAAAGTACATAAAACTCACAGCCGAGGTAATCGCGTCCACCAAAACACTCAGTACAGCCACTGCACGGCCCGGGGGGCCCCATGCCCGTTGGCAAATCCACGTTTCCAGGGCCTTGCAAACAGCCGGCAGGGGGGTCGGGGCCAAGCTGATCTTCAGGCGGCGGCCGCCGGCGACACTCCCTGGCTGACGGGACCCCCAGCGTGGCCCCCACCCCCCGTAAGGCCTGATGGGAGTCTGGTGTCGCGGCGAAGGCCCCAGGCGAGAAACCAGGAGGCGCTGAGTCCTAGTCCCGCCTTAGCCCCGAAAGCCTGCCGGGTGACTTGGGCCAGTCCCTCTCTCTCAGCCAGCCCACCTCACGGGGTTGTTATTGTGGGGGAAAGAGGAGGAGGAGGAGGGAGTATTAGGTATGTTCGCCGCTTTGAGTTATATATTTAAAAAGGTGGGATAATAATAACAATACTAATAGAATCACAATCATAATAATATCTGCTGCTTAGGGGGAGAAAAGCAAAGGACCTGCCTTCAGGCTTGCAGTCAAAAGGCCAAAACGCTCCAGAGCCAAAGAAGCCACGTTTTGCGCAAGAAAGCTGCCCTGGCCTCCGCACGGCCTCCGCACGGCCCAGCCCGGGCTTCGGGAAGAGGAGCCGCGGCCGAGGCGGGGCGAGGGGAGGCGCGGCGCGCGGACAAAGGACTGAGCGAGGCGGCCCACACCG